TCTTCTCATTTTCTGTAGTAGCTGAACCACAGGTAAAAAATAACACAGAAAGAATCAGAGTGTAGTAGGGAAAGAAAGAAAACTATTCTGGCACTGTAATTTCTTCTCCTTTTAATTACCCATTGTGGGTGGACTTAGTGTAGTTTATGTTAGTCTTAATGTTGTTAAGAGTTATATTGTAAGCGTCCTTGTACAGCTGAAGCTCAAGCCAGAGGAAAAGAAGAGGCAGAAGAGAGGGCAACAGTGGTAAAAAGCAGAGACACACTACAAGGCCTGATTCAACAAATCCCATGATGGGTAATCACTAATTTGAGTTTGAAAGAAAGAGAATGAGGAGTAGGAGGGGGAAGAAGGCATAATTGCTAGGGGAAAAAAAATCTTCTTTAGCTTGGCTTAAAGCTCAAAAGGGGAGATTTCTTCTTCCATCTAATATTTCATCTGTTGTTGAAGTTTGTTTGTACTTCTACTTTGCTGTTGTTATACACAAAATGTCAACCTCAATCCCCTCTACTTAGACAGAAAGGAAAAGGATTTAGAAAGAAGAAAAATCAGAAAGCAAAAGTGAGTTTTTTTTTTAATGACTAAATTGCACTCTCTTCTCTTGCTATTTGCCTTTGCCTCCTCTCTTCCTTCGCATCTCCTTCATTCTAAGGAGAGGTTTTGTCTCTTTGTCTGTTCCTTCCCTTCAATTATTTTTCACTTTTCAAGTTGTGTGAACTGGTGGGGTCTGTCTTTTATTTTGATGCCATTATTGAAGAAGGTGGGGACCCCACAAGGCACACCACCATCACATGGGGGGCTGCTGACACTGCAAGTGGGTCCCACACATTTATATAATGCCAGGGTGTGTATGGGTCCTACCCACCAACACCCACCCATGTGAGGGATGCCACTTTCTTTCTCTGCCTTATACACACAAACACAAATAAACATATAAATATATATGTGCCTGCCTACCCTTTACTTTCTGATATGTGACAGGAAAGGGCATGCAGAGATCTAAAAGAAGATGTAGATGCCCACACGTATGACAAAAGTGCACGGTTTTGGGAATCTTTGGGGCTCTGTGACTGTGTAGGACAGTGCCCTTGTGTGAGTTACTGTGGGATTTTTAACTGTCCTACGCCTAGGTGTTTGTGAGAACAGTAATGGCTCTGATATATAATAATAATAATAACAGTAATAATATTGAAGTGAAACAGAGAAATAATATAATAGTGTACTCCTCCAATGGGGTTGAACCAGAACAGGCAGGCAGGCTGGCTGGCTTGTGGCATCCTTGTGGATAAGTACATCGGAGCCGTGAAGGTCTTCTATACATATGACACGTTGGCTCCTCTCTCTCTCTCTCTCTCTCACAATAAGCCATAGCCTTTGCAAGTTTCTGAAATGGTAGTCTCCTGTTGTGGTGGTGGAATTCTGTGACAGTTGGGTCTCCTTCAAGTCTATGAACTAGACCTGGTTTGGTTTATAGGGAAGGATGAGCTTAAGATGGCATGAGATGATGTGAAGGATAAATTATTGTGTTATGATTTACTTGTTGATTTCCCTTAACATATTGATTGATGCTAATTTCTCATCGCCAATGGAACTGAGCATATAACTAATGAGTGGGGGTCAAGTGGAACACCTTTAATTTCTTTTAAGTTTAGGGCTTGAATATGTAAATAAAAAATTATGTTAGATGGGCTATCTCAAATAGATTTGACAATAATTGAACTTGATTTAATAGTATAGAATATTAGATAATTACTAGAGAAATAACCATATATAATGTATTTTGATAAAATTAAAAATAATGAAAAAAATAAATTTCATACATAATTGTTTAACCATTCAGTACTAATTCCAATTTTAAATATAAGATTCATTCAAAAGCATTGTTGTTTTTAGAATCCAGATCCATTATTCATTCAATGCACGTTATTGTTGGATATTCTCTAGATAAAAGTCAAAATATGGTTCTTATGGGCCGTTTAACAAAACATGTGAGTCTTGATTTGGTTTTAAATATAATATTACATTTCCTCTTATATGCTATTTTAAAATTTTCTTTCTTATACTACGCGTATTTATTAAAATATTTTTTTATTTCTGTACATTATTAAATTTTAATAATTAAATTATAGGTGTGTGTTCAGAAAGTGTTATAAAATTTTCTACATATTAATTACAAACAACAAATACATATTTTATAAATTAGTTAAAAAGCTTTATATTCAAAATTGAAGGAAGTATATAGTACTATGGTTCCCTAGGGTCTGGATCTTCAATGACAAGAAGCTCTCTCAGCATATACTTTCCTATGTTTGACCCAACAATTTTTTCCCCCCTGTAAGTAAGGTTGAAGTTGGATTCCTTGTTTAAGGGGTATACACACTGCATATTGTTCATGTTTTTTCCTCTCCATGAAGTCATTACTAATACAAACTCCAGTTTTTAATATAAGGTCTGGTTTCTAGTTTAATTCAAATTATAAATTAAATCTTATATTCAAGACCGGAGTTAGTATTAAACGAACAAAGAAACTAACTAAAAAACTAACCAAAAAGTTCTTGATAATGTCATTAATGTGCTTGAAAAGACCATGGTGTCATCCTCTAGTTGATGACAAAAGTACAGAGAGATTTAGAAGCCAAGTCTAAACCTAGTAGAAGCATTTTGTACATGTGTTTGGTAGAATTCTTGAGCTGGATTTTGGCCAAAGACATTAGTTTGAATTACCATCTTTCATGAGCGAAACACTCTTGATTTTTGGTATATAGTGTTTTGAAAATATACGTTATGCTTTTACTTTTTCCATGTAATTCTATCTGATTTTTGGATTATGATAAAGTTATTTTAAGTCAGATTGTGAAGTAATTGAAATTTGATTTTTTTTTTTTGCAATCATGTGAATCCAATTATTACATTGATTTAGTGCTTTTGATTTTTCAAACATACTGGCTTCAAAATTCAAGCTTAATTTGACATTCGGAGAGCTGTCTTTAATACACAGCAAAAAGAATAATATGATACTTTTCCAACATTAACTTTATCAGAAAAAATTATGAAAATATATTTAAAAAGCCATTAGTTTTAAATCTAATTAACATAAATTAGATGGAAAGATAGCTATTTTTTTAACCCTGTGAGGTGGGTTTTCTTATGTTTTGAAATAGGTTTCTAGAAACATAGAAGGTGGCATCATGTCATCTGATAGTTCTTTTCAAGTGGAATAATGTGGGTGACTTGTAAAAGGGCATCTTTTGTTTTCACATATTATTATTATAAACAGATAAAGAAAAGGGAATGCTTTTTTTTTTTTTATGCTTTTATGACAAAGATTTCAAAGAAATCATTTGGTTGTATTATTATGGACGTGGTGATTTTTTTCCTTTTGTCCTCTCAAAGTCCGTTATAGGGTTTAGACTCCTAAAAAATGCATCCGGCTTTTTTATGTTGTAAGTTTTTTCCCCCCCCTTCCATGAGCAGGAATGATTAGAATGATGAATTTTTTTTAATTTAATATATAATTCAACATTTTTTAAGTACTAAAAAGAAGGCATTTTTATTATTGATTAGTATGTTTATAAAGAAGTGAGAAAAAAATTAGACCATACCCATTCTAGCCAAAGGATTGAGAAAGAAAATAGACACAAGTCTCACGTAAACAGAATACTTATCAATAGGTTCTTTTTTCCAGAGAACTTGTAAGAAACACATAAAATAAGTTGTAAATTTTTATGTTTGGCTCCTGAATAGTGTAAAAGGACTTGTAATAAAAATCTCAATTAAACTTCATACCACAAAATTGGGATTAAAATTTGTAGAAGTCTTCCTGTGATGTTTAGAAGTATAACTTATTGGGTGTATTTTTTCACAAGTTCTTGAGAAAACTTATTAAAAAGATCTGCTGCTATTGTATTTATTTTCGCCTGAGATTGATACGTAATCTCACAAAAATCAATGAAACACAACCGTGGAAGAGGATGAAATCAACAATAGTCCTAAAATAAAAATAAAAAAAATTATAATTATCTTCTTGATATTGTAAAATGTAAAGGCAGTTTTGACAATTATATTCAGTCTCTTATTACTCTCCTATTATACCAGAAGACATGCACGTCTCTTTCTTAAGCTTATTCCTTTGATTTCATAAAGATGATTTTGGTCCCCCCCCCCGGGGCTTCTATTTTACTATCAAATTTTAACTTAATAATATGAATTTATTTATTTAATTATAACATTAATTCCTCCAACTGATTTGTTTAGTTGCTGATGGAAATGCACTTGAAAATGGAAAATGTAAGGCAATTAGAAATCCAGCCAACGATTCTAGCTTTGTTTCTTCATGAATATTTGAAGGCTTAATAATGTCACTGGATTTTTATCACTATCTTCAAGAAAAATCTTACAAAATTGAATAAAACAATGTTACTTGTCCAAACGTAACCAAACCTAATTTCACGCTCATGATCATGATAATATGTTCTGTTCTACTTCTATAACGAGTAAAAACAACGTAATCTTTATAGATCCAAAAACGGAAAACAAATAAAAAAGAAGAAGAGGTAAATAAACCTATGCTTTTCTGACTCAAAAGAATGATGCTGCACCCTAGGAGAATGAGAATTGGAATGGTGGCAGATGGAAGAGAACCAGGGAGGCAAATTTGTTCTTTTTTTTTTTTTTGACCCCAAGAAACAAGTAGAAGGAAAGAAGGCCAAGAATATAGACTGGAAATATGTTCATGCACTGCATATGCATGCTTAGGAGATGAGAAGTAATAGAATGTGTTTGGTTTTGTGTTAAAAAACACTTAAAAGTCATAGTTTTAATAGAAACGTGTGCTCTGGTCTCAACAAAACCACGATATTTAGTGATTTTCGAAACTAGACACGCATGTAATATGAAAGTGGAAGCAAACTAAGAAGTGATGATTAGTTGATGATGAGGAAGAACTAATTAGGAGGAGTGCATTATTTACCAAAATTGCTGTGAAGTGTTGAATCTTTGTTTCAAGCCATATCTGGGCCACTCGGGATGGGTACGTAATCATGATGATGGTGATGGTCCACGAAACCAGCCACTGGAACGGGGATGCATTTGACAATGGCGGCTAAGGGTAAGCTCACTGAACCAATTAAGACACTGGCTAGCCATAGATCCCAGCTTAGTGGTACTGTTTGAGCAAAGGTACCCAGAAATTCAACAAGTATGGCTTGGAAACATATTGTTGAGGCCAAAACTCCCAGGAAGATCCAGCTGCTGAATATGCCTCGGAAAACATTGATCTTCTCCATGTCACGGCTGTTTATCTCGTTGAATACCTGATGATTTTGCAGCACGGAAAAAATTGCATGACAGAAGATATTATAGTTTTTAAATGCTCATGAGGATTTCTTCAGATAAAGTTTCCTTTGGTGTTTAGTGCAAGTTCTTGGATAAAAATACACTCATCTGATCTTAAATGTAAGATCCATTTTATAGTGTAAATTATACTATAAAATGAGTCTTATATTTACAGGAAGAGTCCAATTATTGGAAGAGGAAGAAAAGTAAGCATACAGAAATATGGAGTAACCGTAGTAAAAATCTTCTGCTTTTTTTACATGCACAGATGAAGATAAGCAATTACAGCTTAAAAAGCCGTGATATAGCAACTACATTTGCGAAAACAATTATACAGAATGTCTATAATTTTTATTATATCCTTCTATCGACGATAGGGCATCTGAAGTTTTATAAACAACTTTGAAAGTGTTAAAACGAAACCGTATTTTCTGTAATTTTTTTATCTCTGTTCACTGAGAGCGAACTTATGATAGACCCAGTGGGTACATGTCAGCGGCAAGCAAATACACTACTGAAAAATATGCGACCGCAGTAGTAATTAATAGAATGAACAAAATCTACAGTATATTAGGTTGGTTTCTTTTATAAGTCATATAGGAATGTAAGGCCTCTATATAGCAAGAAACATAGTATGAGAATAATCAGAAGACAATGCTAACGAGTGGTTTTTAAGAAAAGCACATTCGTGGTTTACAAAAGAAAAAAAATTACAACGAAGATCTAAATATTAGAACTGGTACCTGGCAAAATACGAAGACGTTGAATATGAAAGTGTTCAGAACAGAGGTTGCATCAGGACCATTAAGCTTCATAATCTGTTCACCGCGAAATTTGAGAACCAAAAGGACGGCTATCTGATAGAGGCTCTGACCAATTATGTTCCTCCACATGATGCCGGTTATGAGATTGGCATTCCTTCCAACAGGTGGTCTTTTCATCAGCCCATCATGGGGAGGTTCTGTAGCCAGAGCCAAAGCACCAAGAGTGTCCATGATCATGTTCACCCAAAGCATTTGAACAGCGGTAAGAGGAGCAGAACCTGAAAATGGAATTCTAGCATAATCAATAAGCAAAGATAGCATGGGTGAGACTAAAGGGATGGTAGAAGACTGTCTAAGTTAGCTGATGTAATACCTGACACACATGCGGAAACAAAATTGAGGATGAGAGCCACAACATTAACCGTTAATTGGAACTGAACAAACTTCTGAACATTGATGTACACAGAACGGCCCCATCTGGCAACGTTAAGTATGGTTGTGAAGTTATCATCCATCACAATGACATCCGCGTTCTCTTTTGCGACCTGCAGGACGAGAAAAGAAGTTTAGCAAACAATTTAACGTTAAACACGCAGATTAATTAATACAAATTTTCATCGGCCATACTGAGATATGCATCTGCCATATACCTGTATATTATGCATGACGTTGTAGTTATGTTCTAAAAATATGGGTGGTGCACGAGAAGAATTTTAGCTTCATGCGAAGATCGGAGGAAATAAATGAGAAAGCCTAATAAATTTAGTTAGGCGATGCTTTATCCGAAATATATTCAATCTTGCAGACCGGGAATCTGGGATGACCAGTGGTGCGGTGGAGAGTGTGGCTTCTGAACCCCAACAGTCGTTCAAGGACAATGTTCTCTAAAAGATAGCAAGTTCTCGTGCATAATTTGGGTTCTCTAAAATATTTCATAGGTGCAGTAGGGACAAATAGGCCCCACTTTTGGCGAGTTCATGGTGCAAGTACTTCAAAGGATCTTGGACACACGGGATATTGACTCACAAAATAAACAAAAAATTGATGACAAGGGGGATGGGTTAAATAGCAAATATGGAGACTGCGACTTACAAACCTCTGTTCCTGCTATGCCCATGGCAAGGCCAATATCCGCCTCACGCAAAGCTGGAGCATCGTTTGTCCCATCACCAGTTACTGCAACAACTTCGTCGAAGTCCGTCCTCAAGTGGGTCACCAAAGTGTGCTTGTCCAGAGGCAAAGATCGAGCCATAACCTATTCAAATTAAGCAGACCTATTTATTAGCTTGCCATCCCATCGCTAAATCAACACTATTAGAGTTATCCATGAAAAAGTAGCGAAACCTGTATTTTTGGTATTATCTCCTCCATTTCTTGCTGGGTCTTCTTGCGAAATTCGGGTCCTTCGATGGCTATACCATCTGTCAAGATACCGCATTCTCTAGCTATTGCTTTAGCAGTAATGATGTTATCACCAGTCACCATCTTTACCGAAATACCAGCTGCTTTGCAAGTTTCCACAGCTTTTTTTACTCCAGGCCTCACAGGATCCTTGATCCCAACAATTGCCAACAATGTAAAGTTCTCCTCAGGAATATTATCCCCACCAGAATTTCCTTCGATATCTTTAAAGGCAATGGAGAGAGTTCTTAGAGCTTCAGAAGCAAAATCATTGATAACTTTTGCGATGTTCCTTCTTTGTTCTTCGAACAGGCGCACGACTTTGCCATTTGTGTCCACAAGTTTGTCGCACATTTCCAGAACTATTTCTGATGCTCCTTTACAGAATGCTCTAGACTTATTGGCAGTACCGGGAAGAGCCACAAGCACTGACATTCTTTTTCTGTTCGAATTGAATGGTTCGATCTTTAAGATCTTGTACTTCTCATTATAAACCCCAGGTTCACCTCCAGAAAGCAACCCAAATTCCAACAATGCCTTCTCTGTCGGAGTACCCATAACCTTATTCTTCCCATTTTCACCTTTGACCACCTCTGAGCCAGTATTCTGAAATATTGACTGCAAAAAGAGGTCAAATATTTGTTCAGAAATGGATGACTTTAACAAATTCTCACTGCTATTGTTTCTCATCTCCTTAGTTTGTCCGCAAATCCATATTTTATGTACTACCATGTGATTTGTGGTCAAGGTTCCTGTTTTGTCTGTGCAAATAGAACCAGCTGAGCCCATCGTCTCGCACGCAGAGAGGTGCCTGACAAGTGCCTTGTCGTTCATTAACTTCTTCATTGCGAACGCAAGGCTTAGCGTCACTGCCAAAGGAAGCCCCTCTGGAACTGCCACAACTATTATAATTACAGCAGTCGCAAAGAAATTGAGAAGCTCAGATGCGTCGTTTAAGGACCATTGAGAGATTTCATTATGAACTATTTTACGCACCAAAAACCTGCCAGTCAGAACCAAGAATGTCATCAGGGCGAAACCCAAGCCAATCTTTCCAATTATGGTCGCAACCCCATTTAATTTGACCTGCAACGGCGTCTCATCGTCTCCCACTTCGTTCAGAGTATCCATCAGTCTTCCCCATTCAGTCCTCATACCAACAGAAGTTACTAACATCTTAGCAGATCCATCTTGTACTTTGGTCCCAGCCAGAAGAAAAGGAGCACGTTGGTCGACATGCACAGCCTCGCTCTCGCCTGATAAGCTTGATTCATCAACTAATAAATTGTAACCCGATATGAATAATCCATCTGCAGGAACTATGTCTCCAATTGATAAATGAACAATATCTCCTACCACTAACTCATAGATTGAAATCTTTTGTCTGTTCCGATCTCTAATGACTTGAATGGTAACATTTTTCTTCTCATTTTCCAAATCTTTAAATTGCAAAGACTGTTTATAGTCACTAACTGATGTGACGAAGACAACTAAGAGAATAGAGAGTGCGATTCCAACTCCATCATACACACCTTTTGGCCAACCGTCAGTGGGGATTCCAACTCCTATTGAAACAAAAGCACATAACAAAAGGATAATGAGAGTCAAGTCTTGCATTGCATCCCAAACGAACATCCAAAATCCTCTTGAGGGCTTCTCAGCAAAGCGGTTAGAACCAAAGACATTTTGTCTACGAGGAACATCACTAGAACGAACACCGTCTTCCAGTGACACATTAACTGCTTTTGCCAATCCTGCTACTCCTCCACTAAGTTCTAAGCCTTTGCTATTATGTGATCGGCATATGGATGCTAAGTCGTCGGGTTCAATAGCAAAACCCGATTCCTTGACCTCCCGGGAGAGCATGGACGAACCACGCTGCCCAGCTGTGAGAGAAGAAGAAAAGAAGTTAAATTCTTTATATTTGTGTATTTAAAATAAGACTGATACAAATGACTATAATTGTCAAATTAAAACAAACAAGAAATAACTGAATCTACTCGGAATTAAATGTAAAATACCGTCAATAAACTGCAATGCTGCTTTTTGCACATAGAGAGCTACTCGTACTTTTTCCTGTTCAAGATAGACGCCATTAGCCATGTAGTAGCGGCAGATTGTAAGGATTTTCATGCAACTTTAAGAAAAGTAGGCACGGGGAGAATGGAAATCCCACGCAGGCAATGCATTCGAGAATGGGTAAGGGAATCCTACAGAGGCAAGGCTAATTTGTTTTTGGGATCCTTTCTCAGTGGCTAATTTGTCTTTCTTCCGAGAGTTACAAGGCCTTTATCGCTTCGCTAGTCAACTTTCCTCCCCAACTTTACTCCATCAAAATTTTCGGCACATGCTGTGTGTGTGGCTTGGAAGCTCACTTCGTCGTCTAAGCAAGATCGTGTTGAGACCTTATTTAATAGCTTAAAAGCTATTGACATTGTGGGGCACCAGTATGAATTGGTGATCCGTGATGGTGTCTTTCTATGTCTCTTGTTTTATAGATATTGCCGAGTAGTATCTACTCCTGCGCTTTGGGACTTCAAGCAGTATTGGATTTGGTGGCGTTACTGTTGGTTCGATATGGGATTCAAGCTTTTGTTGGTGCTCGAAATGCTAACCGTTGTGTTTGTTGGTTTGTTTGTTTGTTTTTTTTTTTTTGGTTTCATTTATAATGTGTCATTTCCTTGTTTTAGTAATGGGCCAACCTTTTGTTTTAGTTTATTTGAGTTTGCTCAAATTAGCCGGCCTTTTATGTGTAATCTTTTTATTTAGTTTGAATGAAATTGTCTTTTAATTAAAAAAAGTAAAGGCAGAATTTTGGGTGGGGACAGCTACAAAAATAGCTCAGAGAATGAGGCCCGAAGCCCCCCGGAGAAACTAAGAAAGGCTGGATAGAGTTAAAAGCTATATTTTTGTAGTGTTTATTTTGTCGTATGGACTTTATACTGAATTTTATTAAATTTAGGATAATAGGTAATGATTATCGTATAATTATTTAATGGCATTCAATTTAGTCTCATTTTTTATTTAATTCATGACCTATTTTAATACAAGAATTGTTCTTAAATAAATTATTAAATTATTATTTATAATTTAGTTACATTAAAAAAATATTTAGTACATAATTATTGTTTTGAGTATTTTTTATCAAATAATTTTTTAATTTGTTAAAATCAAAATTTTAACATTTTTCTCCCACCTCTAGTGACCGCCATCAATGTTTTTTTTTTTTCTTCTGTCGTATATTTGGTGTAGGATTATTTTAATAGAATTATTTTGTCTAATACTACCTCTAGTTCTAGCTAAATATAAGAGTTAATTTGACTTTTAATTTGGTCCTACATACTACCTCCGGTCCTAATTATAAGAGCTAGTCAACTAATTTGAAGAGATTAAGGAAATAAGTTAAGTTAGTTATTTGTGATAAATAGGTATTGTCTTTCTTAAAATATTCTTACTAATCAAGTTTATTGGTTAGAGCTACTATTATTAGAGAGACTAACTTAAAACAAATACATAAATATGAGAGACAAAGTGGATTGGAGTCTTATAATTAGGATCAAATAAGTCAAATAATGTTTTATATTAAGAACCAGAAATAGTATAAGATTTCAATCCACTTTGTCTCTCATATTTATCCATTTCTTCTAAAATAATCCTTGTAGTTGTATGTATTAAATATTTCATCAACTGATAATTTTTGTTAATACACATGATTAGCAAGAATATTATAAGAAAAAGAATAAATATTTATTACAAATAACTAATTTAATAATTTTTTTTAATCTATTCAAATTAATCAACTAGCTTTTATATTAAACATTGAAAATAATAATTCATTGCTAATGACATTGATCTTCACGATCGGGGACCGGAGAAGCACTACATCCCCCCCCCCCCCACACAAAAAAAAGGATAATCATGAAAGAATAGAATGACCTCGAGTAAGGGGAAATACCACGAATATACACCATTGCCTTTCAAGCATGCAAAGATGAAACCTTTGATCATAGTTACGTGGGCTACCTAAAACATATAGGTGCGTAAACTTTACAATAATACTCGGCAAGTGCCTAGCCAACTAATTAAAAAATGGTAAAAAGGGACGCGGCCACTTTAATCCATTAGAGATCATAAACCCTATTACCTTTTGGCACAGTTAATTCATTGGCACTCTGACAAGTCATTTGATTAAAGCAATATCAGTGAAAACCAATCCTATACAATCATTCAGTTGTGACTACACCTATATCTTATAATTACACTCCTGAACCCTTTTCTTCCTAGTTATCATGTCTATCATATGCAGTTAATCCTGTGAAGTCACCAGGGGTGTCCAAACTTGAAATCAGCTTTCCTTGGGACACAAGAAACAATACATGTATAGATCGTTTAATCTGTAGATCTGTTTATACCTAAGAAATAGCTGGAGTTCACCAATATTGGTCCATCTCGGAGCCAGGAAAGAAAACAAAAAATATAATATATGCACATATATACATGTAGAACGGACTAGAAGTCATTTCAAATGAAGTAATAAGACTTATAGATTTAGGGAGTGTTTGGATAGAAACGAAACCATAATTTTAAAAGTAATTTTACAGTATACGAAGTAAATATATGAAGGAGTTTGCCTTGATTTGTGAAAAAGTATTTTTGAGAAGTATTTTTACAGCTTAATCAACTTTAACTAATTAATTAAAAAATTCCACAAGAGGAAATAAGCTGTCCACCATCAAACTAGCGATACGTCACCTAAGACTTTCGAAACATTTGGAAAAAGCGATTATACAGAAGCAATGGTCATATGATGGAGCATTTGTGAAACAGAAGTTCAATTTGGTTTGGTAAATTTCAGTATGGATCGAGGACTCAAGTATTCAAAGCTTATGATGTGAAATCAATTCTACGTACACATATGAAGAAATATATTCATGCAGGACAGTACGTTTATTTCGGCATCAAATAAGAAAATTCAATTGTATAAAAAAAAAATTCAAGGAACAATCACCCCTCTTTAGCATTGAAAAGTCCATATATAGAATAATACTAGTACTCTTTTGTCGTAATTAAATGGTTTACTTGGTTTTTTTTCCCTTTCTTTGACACATCTTAAATGCTACGGAAAATGATGAGAATGGCAGGTGGCAAGGATTACCAGAAATGCAGAAATTCCGAGAAAAGTCGATGGATACTGTGTGAAAGTGAACTGCATAAGCCAATGACAATCTAATCGCGCTAACAATTTGACTTTGCTTCTGTTATTCTTGCGGTTTAATAAGCGCACAATCTGTGCCGCAGCAATTTTCCATCTCTATTTCTTTGACTAGAAAATTTCGAAAATGAACAGGAAGGTTCATCTCATAACGAAGACATCCAGAGATCATAACCAGACACTTCAGGTTTATCATTCTAATTGTGGAAATGCCGATCATAACATCCAAACTAATCACTAACTCAGTGCATGTAATCGAGAACAGAGCAATCCGTTTCAATTCGGGAAAAAATCATGGACCAAAAAAAAAAAGCCAAATCTATTTCGTTTTATTTCCAAACAGACATAAACCACGTTGATAAATCAGTTTCTATAAAACGAAGAGAAAGAAAAAGATCCAAATGGAAACACAGTTTCTGCAAGAGCTGAAAAAAGATAAGAGAGAACAGAGTAGTCTCAAACCTGGAGTTTCTTGCGCTTCTTCTCAGCCTCGGCGCGCTTAGCGAGGTCAGCGACCATGCGAAAGCGGCGACGAGGATTCTTGACGATGGAGACGGCGGATCTCCAGCGGCGGAGGTTGGCCTCCGAGGGCCGCTTGGGCGACACGTCGAAGTTCTCTCGGAGGTACTGCTCCATATTGTTGCGGCACACTCAATGCGAATGCGAGATTATGCTTCCTGGATCCAGTGAGAGGGGAACTCAAGGCGATGAATCTGTTGGAGAATACCAGACTGGAACTAGAAATGGTTTTTGAAAGAAAGGTTCAAACATGACCGGATTTGGCGCGAATCAAAAGAGATCCATTAGCTTCTTCTTTATAGGCCAAGTGCTAACTGCATTGCGTGTTTAGCCAATGCTCTCTTCTCGCTTCTTCCCTTTTTTTCCCTTTTCTTTTTTAATTAAATACTTATTTTGAATGTCCGGTTTTTTTAAATACTGCCTCTGGTCTTAATTATAAGAGCTAGTTGATTAATTTGAGAAGATTAAGGAAGGAAGTTAAGTTAGTTATTATAATAAATAAACGTTGTCTTTCCTGAAATATCCTTGCTAACTAAGTGTATTGATTAGAACTACTATTGTTAAAAGGACTATCTTAGAAAAAAAATGCATAAATATGAGAGACAAAATGGATTGGGATCTCATATTTAGGACCAAAATAAAAGTCAAACAAGGTGTTATATTAAAAACTTGAGTAGTATAATATTTATATGATCAATATCAGTCACGCAAATCAATTGGCTCTGAAATTTCTACCCCTTGTAAATTGTAATGGACAAATTCTTATGTGTAAATTTCTAGGAATTTTCGTTTTTAGCAAAACATTTATTATTATTATTATTATTATTATTTATTATTAACAAGTCTCATTCTACTCTATCTTTTTTTTTGGTTAAGCACAGGTATCTTTTTATTAAAAGTAATCTCATTCGAGGTACTGTCGGGTATTAAATATGGATACCTCTTCTAACAGGAATTCAAAGCTTAGTTTATCACATTATGAAGGACTAGTCCTTTCTGTTAAATCCAACTCCTGGTGGTCTCTATCTTCTTATTGTATTACTTTGTTTATAATTACCGTGATATTATGACGTATTGTGAAGTTTGAGAAATGAGTCTAATTAATAATATGGTTTATTAAAATCGTTATATTAAATGTAAATAAAATTTAAATTCTCCACTATTTGAAATTGTTGTGATATTATGGGTTTTTCTTGGTTATGACACTATTATATGACGGTTAAGTTTTGTCAAATATTTAGTTATTCTGCAGAAGTCATGATAATCGCTCTTTCTTCTGAAGGAAAAAAATAATTAGTCTTTTTAAGTATATTTTTTTCAATTTAGGTTCAATCACCAGAATTCTTTTTAATTAGTCAAAATATATATTATTTTGGGGGGAAATATTTAAGTGTCAGTCCTTATTTATGATGTGCTGCGAGGTTGCTTATATTCATCTGAACTGGCAAATAACATGCTGACCTGAGAAAGGGATGAATATGACCTGGGACAGAACGCTGATATGGGCGCCCAGTAAACCACGGAAACATGAGTCGAACCAATTCTATTCTGTTTAATTTTGACCCACTTACAAATAATTCATTAAAGTTTTAAAATTACAAATGAAATCATTTATTTTCACATTATAAGTAATGATACAACATCACTTTCAAAAGAAAATTTTCATTTTCTTCCCCGAATTTCATCATGTCAAATATGAATGGCATCTATTCCCAAAACAAACTTGTACATGTTGCTTGTTGTACAAGGTTTCATGCACAGATTCTATCATCAGTCTAATTTTGACTGGAGGCATTTCGCGAAACAAAACTTTTCTCAAATATTTATTTCGTGCAACACTTAGGTGCCCTTTTTAAGCTAATCCAAAGGGCACTAAAACGGATCAAGAGATATCAAATAAAAAAATCACTGTAGCATTCTACAACTAGTCTCAGAAATTTCTCAGTCCTAGTGACCATAACCAGAATAGTTGCTTGTATATTTATATAGGAAATTTCTCCATCACTTCCGATTAGCTGCAACACTGCAGGAAGGGTTCGTGCTTGGAAGAACACACATTTTAACATTTGCACAACTAGGAAAATATGTCAAAACTACATGCCATACAAAACTCACACGAGATTATGATTCAAGGCTGTTGACCAAGGAGAGAGGGCCTGTAAAAGACATGGCTTTGAGCAATCTGGATCCGGTCACGTGGATCATTCATGGTCTCATCTCTTAATGCTTCAAGAATGGCCTGTGGGGAGATTCCCTGAAGATTCAAAGTCAGCAAAACCACAGAAAACGGCAGTTCCATTCTACAATAGGGATAATTAAATAAAATTACAGCTTTCCATGTGCGGGGCTTGTGTGTTAACTCCAGCCAAAAGATCCATGGAGCGTTTGTATACGTATATTTCTTGGACTAGGCCAGGCTTCTGCTAGAACCCAACAGCCTTAAGCATTGGGCCAAAGCCTACCTTAAGTGAGGAGAATTCAACATGTTTGCTTTGATTTATTAGAGAAAAAGTTGAACTTAATAAATTTTGAAAGTAAAAAAATAGATGTAACAAAGAGAAAATAAAAAGAATGAGAATAAATAAAGACTATAATGCCAAATTGAGGGAGTGAGAAAACTTTTCGGGTCAGCCCAAGCTTGAGTTTGGCCAAAAGCGTATAAATCTAATAAGATGATGAGCTTGAATTTTTAAGCCCACAACCCACCAAATGCTCGGCCCTCGCCTCGTTCTGCTATGTTAAACTAAGCATATCCTCAGTCCAAAAGAAAGAAAGAAAGAAAGAAAGAGGGGGGGGGGGGGAACTAAGCATATCCATGCCAAGCAACTCTAAATCACAGCAAGCCGAATCCCATGATCCATCATTTTTTATTTTCAGGTTTAAAAGAAGAAAAAGTAAGAGGGCGGGTAGCAAAGTTTATTACCTTATTATGAGTATTTTATGTAACATCTTCAAGATGGGGCAAAGCTCCACTGGAGCAACATGCTTATTTTCTTCAGGATTTAGGACATTTAAGCTGGACTGACTAAGTAGCTCATAAAATGCTTTAACTGCAGATACTCCCTACAACATGAAAAGCGGAATCATTATTTACAAGCTGCAACAGTAGAACCTTAAGATGGTTTTTACATGTGAGCACCTTATGTAGGAGGGTTAAGTGGTAATTCAACGAGCAACCCTTTAAACCAAAGGGAGATAAATTGATTTTGAACTAAAGCAAATGGGGTAGAATGTAATTCACATGAAATTTAAAATTTTCTTTTTTTAATGTGCTCACTCATTATGTAAATATATTTCGTAAGTGTTTGAGAAAACAATTCCACAGACCAAGTACCACCTACAGAATTCCAGTTTCTTTGATTCTTTCTAATCAGACTAAAGATGCATATCAATAAGAAAAATAGAAACAAAGAAATTTGTACCTGAATCATCCCCTTGCCCTTGATGCTATCACCCATTTCAAGGCTCAATTCCCCTTCGGCCAGCTTTTGTCCATACCAAGCATTACGACCTTTCAACAAGGTTACATATGTATCGGCCAACAGAGGTCCTGCAAGTCTCTCTGGTTCTTCAGCTAGTAGGTGAGTGATAAAAATCATCTCTGATGTGCAGTGAGCAAAGTACACTGATTTGCTGGTGGCACTTTCCTTTGTTAAAGCAGCTACCATTCCTGTCTCATTGAAATTTATGCACATATATTACAAAATTTAAAATTATTTTTTAAAAAAGAAAGCATTTTTGCGGTGTACCATCCAAAGACAACATACAGAACAATCTCCAATGTGAAAAGCACATATTGACCAATCAACTGACAATGAGACAATGTCATATGGTGCCAAATGGTTATATATGTAATCTTAATTACAGGACAACAATTATCTAACAAAAAAAGGATTTCTTTCAGGAACTTCAATTAGAGAAACAGAGTAACACCTTCTGTATGTTTCTAAATGAAAAATCGATTTCCCACTAGTCTTGAGATCTTTATAGATCAATATGTACATAACTAGATTTTCTCAGTTCTAATCAACACAACTATTATAGTGTAGCCAATTTCTAACAGTAGGTATTAAGATTACATCGTTAGTTTATAACTAATAAAGAGATAGAGCTTGTGTTGAAAAAGTCACGTCCCAGATGCATAATACATATAAATTCTATGAAGGAGAGAGAGAAAGAGATGTCATTACAATTGACTAGTAGCTACTTGTATAGTATTACTTTTATTCTTACAATTGCACGTGTGTTAGACATGCATCAGTAGTGCATTGTGACAGAGCCAGCGACTGATGTGCCAGAAAACATGCGTGCTCATGATTCATAGTCGGTAGGGATGTTAAGAATACTTGATGACTTGCATTTCATTCCCCATTTTTCTCTCCCTTCTTTCAATTTCTTTTATTATTCCTTTTTTTCTGTTTTTTTAATGGCAAGATTCCCACATCTCTTTTCACTAGAACAAAATAATGACAATTTCAATACAGAAAACAATAAGAGCAACAGCATGGCAAAGATCTAGAATGGCTATTATCTATGCCATGCTTCAACAAATATGCATTGACTGGCTTCTCTCACGTAGTTTCTGAATAATGCAACTAAGAAAATAATCTAAACTTTACCAGCTCCAATAGCATAGACATTCTTCAGTCCACCCATAACTTCATGAGTAACAAGATCACCATTATCCCACACAACAAAGTGGGGCTGCCTCAAAAACTTTGCCAATGGCTTCCGCCATTTTTCTGCTCCACATATCCGAGCATTTGCATATTCCTTATTGTAAATCTCTGAAGCAATGTTAGGTCCTCCGAGATAAAGAATGTTCTCCATGGGAACTCCAGCTGCAAAGCATGATGTCGGTCAGTGAAGGGAATGGAAACTTAAACATATAGCGTGAGGGCATGTATGCCATTATCTTGCGATAGGAAAGTACATCATGATTCATGCACCCAAATGGGGAGAACTTCATTTATGTTTATGCTTTTGTTTTCTTTTCCTGAAAAAAAAAAACTAAATTATTAATGTAAGATTCGATAGTATGAGCTTGTACTGATGCCAAACATATTAAAACAAATGTGAAACAGAAGTCATATATATGGCATCAGCAATAAATATTA